ATGCCTGTAATCCCAGCACTTTGGAAGGCCAAGGCAGGCAGATCACCTGAGGTCAAGAGTTTGAGACCAGCCTGGCCAACACAGTCAAACTGGTCTCTACTAAAAATACCAAAGTTAGCTGGGCATGGTGACAGGAGCCTGTAATCCCAGCTACCCAGGATTCTGAGGCAGGAGAACTGCTTGAACCCAGGAAGTAGAGACTACAGTGAGTCAAGACTGTGCCACTGCATTCCAGCCTGGGCAACAGCAACACTCCACCCAACAAAACAAAACAAAACAAAAAACTAAGCAGCTCAAATGCCTTCAAAACAAACTTTTATCTTGGGATTCAGAAAAGTATTCTGGCTATTTGAGAATTGTATCTCTTTACTATAAACAAAACTTATTTCTCAGATTTATATTAGTCATTAAAAAAAGGAAATCATTGAACAAGACTGCAAAATTCTCAAAAACACTTTCAAATTATAATATTCAATAAGAAGCAATTTATTCCAAAGTATCAAATAGCTAAAAAAGTGATCTGTATGGAAAAGCTTAAAAACATATAACACACAAAACCACCTTTTCAAAAAAGAGAAACGGGCATTGCTGTGTTATTAATACTGTTATTATCTGAAAATCTGGTTTTTACTTAAAAGAAACAGGGTAATAAACGAAATGAAGGAGAATAAACATAAATTATTTCTTAATAAAAGTCAACTTGATTGATGTGTTTTCTACATGGGTACATATTTTAAATGTATCTACTAACTTAAAATGTTTGTTCTAGAGTCAATTAACATTGGTAGAGTACTTACTATGTATAGGCACAGATTTATGGAATGTTATTTCAACTCGTTTATCCTAATTAACTAATTTATATTGTCTCTAACCTTGAATACAGAGTCAATAATTCTGAAACCTAAACATCTAAAAGCCCTCTAGGGGCCTGACGATGAATTCTAGAACAAGAGTCATCTGACACTGAGGCACGGCATGATGTGTATAAACCTTAAAAACCATAAAGGGCAAAAGAAATGTTTCCAGGTCACATCTTCCTATGTGGTTCTGTTCTAATGACGTCTCTGTTTAATGTTATTGTATGATTTGATGACAGGATGACAGAGTTATATACGATAATCATTGTCAGTAAGGTCCACGAACACCAGCACGATCTGGCAGCAGTGTTGTCCACACTGAACCGTCAACCCATTTCTCCGAGCAATTGGGCCCCAGGTGCTCAGCACTCTAGCCCTTCCCTCAGCCACAAAGGTTCTTCGGCTCCTCTCCCATCTTTGCTCAAAAGTCACCTTAATGAGGCCTGCCGGCTACTGAAAATTATAACCCACTCTCTCTCTGCTAGATGTCCGTTAGCCTGCTTTATTTGTTCTATATTACTAATCACCTTATCACCTACTATAATATGAATTTTGTTATTGTAGTGTTTTTCTATCTGCCCACACAAACATCACCAGAGCAGGAATTTTGGTCATTTTGTTCACTGAGGAACCTGAAGAATTTAATAGATGTCTGGCAGAAAATAAATGCTTTATATATATATATATATATATATAAATTTGTTAAAAACATTTTCACTGAATGAGATTATGATATAATCAGCAAAAAGATAAACCTAGAGTCAACATTTCTTTATACTTTCTCAAGTGGGAGAAAAACTTAAATATAGGCAGTTACCATAGAATCTTAGTACAAATTCTCAAGAACCTACAAATTTCCTCATCATGTAATTATAGGAATACAGCAGCCTTTCCAATGCATCTTTCCTCCTCAAGCATCTTCCAACTCAGTAATTCCAGAAACATCTTAACATTCTTAACATACCACACAAATCCCTGGTTACATACCACATAAATCCCTTGTTACAGGTTTTCAATATGGAAATTCTAAGTAAATTAACTACACCAATATTTTTAACTCCTAACTCCAAAGAACCCGTTGTGAGGATTAGAAATAATATATCGAAAAGACTTAGCATATACAGGTACTTAAATTTAAAATTCTTATCAACTAGCCACTTGGGAGGCTGAGGCAGGAGGACAGCATGAGCCTGGGAGGCAGAGTTTGCAGTGAGTCCCTGTAGATTGCACCACTGCACTCCAGCCTGGGCGACACAGCAAGACCAGCTCTGTAGGGGGGAGCAGAATCTTACCAATGCTTCTAGTCTTGGGTGGTAGAATAAATCAGTGATCATTCATTGAGGAAGAAATAGGAAAACAACTCCCTCAATATAATCTGGCAATCTAAAATGGATGAAGTTCTACCTAAATCAGCAACTCCTGAGGGTAAGGAGTGAGGGGTAAACTGATTAAAAAGCTAAATTCATTAATTCAAACAAAATTTGAGTGCGTACTTACTAATGCTAGGGTCTGTCCTCCATTCTGGGTTTACAGTCATGAGCAAATAAAATATGACTCTGCTCTCCTGCAGCTTACAACCTAGTAAGAAAACATGTCTCTACTTTTACACAATCACACAGTCAAAAGAGGGAGGAAACACTGGTGTATTCAAATAAGAACTGTTAGAGGCCATTAAGAATTTTAATTATAATGGCGCATATTACTGCCTGAAATAAATGAACTATGAGACGGGAGTACTTTAATGTGAATGTTTTTCTCCATGTGTCTAAATTTTGATTCCCAGTTTTACAAATATCTGTGATGGAAGCATAAAATCTCAGTCATCATTTGCATCCAGAGGACACAGCATGCAATTCTCAGCTTCTCCTTTCTGTACTAATCTCCCAAACACAGTGAGTCACCAAAGGACCAGCACTGGTTACCAAAATGAATATATTTTGTTCTGTAGTTTCCTGTCCTGGGGGCGAAAATACAAAACAAAACAAAAATGGAGCAACGTACAGCACAAAATATTCAACTAGAGGCATCATGCCAAGAAAGCAACAGGAAGTTTTATATTTAAGCCAAAGACTCCTGGGTTTCTTTCAAAATTTTAAATCGTGACAATTATCTTGATGTATCTTGATGAATCAGATCTGTCTATGGAACAAAAGCTTGCTCAGGAGTTTTGTATACTTTGAGGAATAATTATTTCCTAAGCTTATTCACTTTTTTAAGAAAGCAGCTTACAGACAGATTTAGAAGCTGGTGTACTTGAGGGAAAACATTTGTAATCAGTCAACCTACAGAGGCATTTTGCTTGAAATGTCAACGAAAAACAATTCTGTGAGGAAAAAGAACTTCAAAACTGATCCCATCAAAGAATATTTCTCATTTTATTTATTTATTTTTTGAGATGGAAACTTGCTCTGTCCCCCAGGATGGAGTGCAGTAGCATAATCTTGGCTCACTGCAATCTCCACCTCTGGGTTCGAGTGATTCTCCTCCCTCCGCCTCGTGAGTAGCTGGGATTTCAGGCACCCACCACCATCCCCGGCTAATTTTTGCATTTATACTAGAGATGGGGTTTCACCATGTTGGCCAGCCTGGTCTCAAACTCCTGACCTCAAGTGATACACCTGCCTCAGTCCCCCAAAATGCTGGGACTACAGGTGTGAGTCCCTGCACCAGTGTCTAATTTTCTCACATATATTTCTCTTTCAACTTTGCAGTTTAAATTGTTGCCAAATTTTTCAAAGTCACCACTACTTTTAATAAATCATGGTGTGGAAGCTTGCATTTCATTATAACAGCACTGAGTGACATTCAAATCTCTTCAATTTCTTTGCTTCCTTCCCTCTTGGTGTAACTATATTAGTAAATAGCACAGAATACATTGATTAAGCTATTTTTATAGCTGATTAGCAGTAATTTATATTTTAACTTTTCAGATTGTATGTACACACTGTTGCTAAGTAGCTATTAAAAAATGAGCCTATCAATAAATATCAACATAGGAGTGTTTCCGTTTATCTATTGCTGCATAACAAACCATCCTAAAACTTAATGGCTTAAAAAAAAAAAGTAATGGTTTGTTTTGCTCAAGATTCTGCAATCTATGGCAAGACTCAGCTGAACAGTTCTTCTGCTCACCTCCCCAGTCATCACATGAGGCTGCATTTAGCTGATGGAGACCAGCTAGGATACTTGGACAGCCAAGCCTCCCTCTCCCCATCCCCATGTAGTTCCAGGGCCTCTTTCCATTCATGTGATCTCCCACTAAAATAACTGGACTTCTCAGATATAATTGCTGGGACTCTCAAAGCTTAGGCCTGGAACTTGCCCAGTATTGATTCTGCTGATTTTATCAAAGTCTCAGACTTATGCCACAAACAGGAGGGGCCTACCCAATGGTGTAAAAACTGAAAGGAGTACTTTTCATGAGACCAATTTATATTCCATCTTCAGAACTTATACTGTATTCCTGGGGTCTATCAGCATAGGAGAGGCAAGAATTTTTTAATTTCTGGGAAAATATGTGAAAGTAAGTCAATAGATGAGTAGTAGATTGGGGTGAAGGATGAATATAGTCAACTATAAAATAGCATACCTAAATAGCGATAATATAAAAATGCAGACCTTCATATAAGACCTTCATATACCTTTTTAATGTAAGTTGTGCATTGGTAAAATTATGAAGGAGTTGTATACAGAGGCTTAGTTGTTATTATTATGTAACACATAATCTTCAAGACACTGAACAAGGGAAATGATACACCAGGTTTATTATAGGAAAGTGTATACACTACACTTCATCCACCAATAGGGTGAGTGTCAGGTTAACCAGCAGAATCAGTGGAAAGATAAGAGCAGCAAGCAATCTCTTAACCTTTCATCCAGAACCTCTCACGGACCACTGGCCTGGGAGGATGTGGGTTTCATACACTTCATCTAGTCAATCTCTCCCTAGGAAAGAAAGTGAATACTCTCATTCCATACACCTTTTATATTCAATAGCTTTACTTCCTCAAGTCAATGAAGCCATTCTGAAACTTGATCCTCTATGGATCTTCCTTAAATTGGACCTATATGTAACATACATCTTTATTTCCTTCTATAAAGCCATCAAAAAAAACCCAGGGAATTCTATTTTTTTTTTTTTAACACCAGTACATATATTTGCAGGAGATGAGGTCAAATCATACCACGAGCTTTAAAACTGGGTAGGACTAGAGATGCTGATCTGCCCAACCTCTGGGTATTCACACCTGCACAGGTAACCAGATCCTGTACACAAGGCACCACCATTAAACAGATGAGCATTAGATGAGGAGGACATATTCTGAGTAGTCACATGATTTCCCATTCAGAGGAAGGAGCTGCCCTCATATCAGAAGAGCAGTATTGAGAAAAACGCAGGCAGAGCCTGGCATCCGCCTCCTAGCATAGGCCTAGACATGACGGTGGCCGTGTGCCAGGGAATCACACCCTATTTACAATGCAGGAGTATGATGCTCCCAGCTGAGCTGCAGGATATGCACTGGGCTGACTGGAGAGGTAGACAGGGTGTGGTTTGACCCCATTAGCCTTTCCCTGTCCAACCTGGACCCCCACATGCCATTCTCTGGCCTTCTACACAAGACAGACTCAGCAAATCCAGGAGGTACAGAGATTCTGCCAAATCCCCATCTTTCCCCACCTTCACCGGGTCTGACATGTGACCCAATCCACTGGGTGCAGCCCCGCCCATACCCAACCCCACATCTGGACAGACACATGGCAAATATGGAAACTGAAGCCCGGCTGGGCTGGAACACACCTGGTTGTTGCTGGGTTGGAGTCATCTTGCAGGTATCCCAAGACGGTCAGGTCTCACTGGTGGTGCCCAGGTCCTAAGACCATGTTTTAGATGATTCAAGTTACTCCAGGGCAAAGCATGATCCTGATGACACCCAGTGGAGAAGCAGGTTGGAGTCTCAGAAGAGCTGGCCCTTTATATTCAAGTACTTCCAGCAGTGAATCCAGGATTTGAACACCGGCAAGTAACAGGGGAGCCCAGCCTGCAGGTTGCCAACTAGCAGGAAGGGGTAGGTCAGCATGCTCACTGCAATCCCCATCATATACTTGGTGTGGCCCTGGATGGCCAGGGCCTGGCAGAAGCTGTCATCCACCAGGTAGGCACTGATGAAGTGGGCCAGCAGGTTACGGCCCCACAAAAAAACCACATTGCCCAACAAATTAAGGAGGTAAGGGATTAATCCAACAAATCCCACCCAGCAGCCCTTCCTCTTTGAAAAGTCTTCCCAATGGAGCTCAGCACACCACTGTATTTGGCTTCCCATCCCACAAACTGGACCATGCAGCGCATTGAAATGACACGCAGCGGGTGGGCCAACATGCGGACACGCACTGCATCATCATCTCGTAGGAGGTCTCCTTCACAACTTTCTTCAGCAAAATCTTCATATCATCCTTGTTGGAAACCTGCTCAATCTCATCCAGAGGGAAAACCTTCTTCAAGCTACCCCAGGTCACAGTGGAAAGGGCACTGGACATCAACCAGGGGTTCAGGCCTTGGAAAAGCCGTATCATAGCATCCACTTGCACAGTGTACTTGGTGTAGATGAAGAAGATTGGCAGATAGAGGGCTTTCCTCCCCAGCACATAAGGCTTTGTGTTTGGGTCTTCCTTAACTAAAGCAAGTTCGATGTGATTGTAACAAAGTTGTTCTAAATTACCTCGTATTTTGATAACTTGCCATAAAACTCATCAGTTAAGTTTTAATAGCTACACACGACAGCCAACTTAATGCAGTATCTAATATTTTTCAAATAAAAAACTCATGTGTATTACAACTGACCTTTATTGATATTTCTTCAGTTTAATCTAAATGTTGAGACAAGCTTTTTTCCATTTATTATTTAAATAAGCAAAACGGTTAAGGAACACAAAGAATTCCATTCAAAGAAACTCACAAAATAAATTCTGGAGCACAAACTGTGGTATGACAGTTTTCCTTTGTATTTCTAAACATCTACTCATAAGAGTTTCTTTTTACAATCTGCAAGCTTCTTTCATCAAGCCAATTGGTTTAATTAGCATTTTACATCATTTTACGTTATGACGCAAATAAAACAGTTGTAGAAACAACAAAACTTCAACACTTACTCAGAAATCACCTATCCCTAACCTTGTCTCCTCTTTCCAAATGTAGCAGCAGCTTCTTTAGATGAAAGAAAGGTGAATGGAAAGGAATGTTTTCAAGGGGAAGAGGATAGGAGTAATAACACGGACCCAGAGCATATGTACTGTCCATATACTCAACTGAAGGATCTCCTAAGAACGTTCCAGAAGCTACAAGACAGAAATGTCAGTCATTACATTCACCATCAGCAAAGAGCTCAAAGCTCTTACATGAGCAAAGTTACGTTGACAGGTGTGCCCATTAGAAATCACAATAGGTATCAGATACCTTGCTATCACTGACCACACACAAATGGATCAACAGAAAATACCATCTCAAAGATATGATTAGACTGAATGTGTATAAAATCATTTCACACTTTTTTGCAATTAAATACTTTTACCTAAATTTAAAGTAACACAATAAATATACTCACTGCTTCTCTCTGTTTCTTATTAACAATGCAGACTATGAAACTGTATCAGAACATCAGTATTGAAAAATGTTATGTTCCGGTCGATAGTCCTTAAAGAACTTTCACTTCATCTTCTTTGCTCAATGAAATAATGTCTATCATTTTGTGTTTACCTTTGCTAAAATGGATCACTAATACCTCGTAAAATTTAAATTAAGGTATGGTTATATTACAGAACTTTAAAAGACCATTTTTCTAACATTATTTTAAAATCTAGAAAATAATATTTCCATTCATATCATTTTTTATGAAGATGCAATTACTGAACAAGAATAATTCAAGTAAGAAAGTTAAAATCAGTTGAAAACAAGCAAAAATATATATGTAACCACTTAGGAAACACACAATGCAAAACAAATTAGTTAGATCATCACGGTTATTCTCTAAGCAATTGAAAATACCTACCTCTAAAGGGGAGAAACACAAAAGTGCGAATAGAATTTCTAACAGAAAGGCCATTGTTTACCCATAAGTTTCACACTGTCGGAATATGAACACCTGCCAGATAATTAAATACACCCACACGCAGAATGTTCCATCACTTTTTAAAATTTTAATTGCCTCCATTTATTATAATCACCAACAGGTAATTTTCTAAGCAACATAAGATCAGCGTTGGGATTAAGGTTAGCTAAATAGTCTAAATTAGTTTAAGCGACTACTTTTGGATAATCAGTTGCACTTGTGCCCACTCACAGGGAGAAGCTGTTGAAATTCAAGGATTTCCTCTGCATTCTCTTGCCTGCAGAGCAAAACAGCTACCACAGAGTCAAGTTCAGTAACTGCATTGGAGCAAGGAAAATTAAATCGCTCAGTGAAATTTAAGTTTAGTAGGGCGTAACACTTCATTCTGCACCCAAGACAATTTGACTTTCCATTCCTATTGTATCTCCAAGTCCAAATAGGTGATATGTATCTCTAAGCATTTAAGTTCCTCTTAAAAAGCCTTAGTCTTGGCTGGGCATGGTAGCTCACTCCTGTAATCCTAGCACTTTGGGAGGCCAAGGAGGGCAGATCATGAGGTTAAGAGATCAAGACCATCCTGGCCAACATGGTAAAACCATGTCTCTACTAAAAATACAAAATTTAGCTGGGTGTGGTGGCATGCACCTGTAATCCCAGCTACTTGGGAGGCTGAGGCAGGAGAATTGCTTGAACCTGGGAGGCAGAGGTTGCAGGGGACCAAGATAGTGCCACTGCACTCCAGCCAGCAAAAGAGCGAGACTCTGTCTCAAAAAAAAAAAAGGCTTAGTCTTTAACCCTTCACAAAGTATTGATATGATTGACAACTTATTTTCTGCAATGCCACTATCAAGTATCAAACTGTTGCCTCAGGCAGGGCAGTAATAAACTGTGCTTTGAATAAATGTTTAAAGCTGAGATTCCCCATACGGGCATTTCTTAACTCAGAAATATTTCACATCAAAATGCACTACTCATATAATATGTGCATATATACACATGTAGAAACACATATTGAAAACATACAAATACATAGAAAATGTTTCACGAAACATGTGTTACCCGGTTACTGTATGATACTCTCCAATATTTTATATTCTATTGCTTTATTTACATTGCTCATTGTCCTTAATTTGGTTTCACCAACCCAATGATGCAGTAGCAACCACAGTTTGGAAAATACAGCTCTCTCTCTCTCTCTCTGCAAACACCAATTCATAGTTCTTCATAAAATCTACTCCTGCCAATCAGGATCAGTGTGACATCCTGTGCAGGTGGGACTAAAAACACACTCCAAAGAGGTGACTGATTTGTAAATGAGTCTGCTTTTGATACATGAATGAAAGAGGCAGCAGAGAATCCAGAGCAGATGAGTACAAACTGCATATCTAAGAGCAAATTAATCATTATCATGAAACTGAAGGTACTCTGTTGCAGACTTTTTTGGATGGGAAAATGGAAATGTAAACATGACTTTATTTTTTCTTATTATGCTTGCAAAATATATTAACTGATACTATCATGTTGAAAAACGTGGGAAAATGTGTATGCTGTTATTAGGACTGCAGTTTTGTAAAGTCATTGTGGAGAGTGATTTGGGAGCATCGGTAAATTTTGAACATGCATATCCTTTGACCCAGCAATTCTTCTAGTTTGTGCTATGCTCTTGCACATGCAGACCAGTAGATGTTTAAAGACACTGGCCATTGATGAGAAAATACTTCGGGTACAATCATATTTTTTTAATTATTTCAATTTTTTAAGGGAGTACTAAACACTGGGGTCTATTGGGGGGAAAAGGGGAGGGCCAGTGGGAGGGGGAGGTGGGGAGGGATAGCCTGGGGAGAAATGCCAAACGTGGGTGAAGGGGAAAAGGAAAGCAAAGCACACTGCCATGTGAGTACCTATGCAACTGTCTTGCATGCTCTGCTCATGTACCCCAAAACCTAAAATCCAATAAAAAATTAAAAAAAAAAAAAAAGAAATATTAAAAACAACAGGTATTTCCATATCATTTTCTTTTGTGAAAAATTCAGTTTCTTGTCAGTACACATATCACTGTTTCTCAATGAGATGTTATTAGTATTCTGGGCCAACTATTTCTTCATAAAATGCTCGTGTGTGTGTGTGTGTGTGTGTGTGTGTGTGTGTGTGTGTATTTTAATCCCGAGGTAAGGGTGGTACCAGCCTTGACTGAAAAAACAAAACAAAAACCCACTATTCCATGTGTAATGAGGAGAAAAGAATTTTTAAAAGATGTTATGAGGTGGGGAAAAGCCAGTTGCAGAACAATATGTATAGTATGATTCTAATTATGTGAAAAGAAACCAGCCACAATCTGTGGGTGTGCACATGAATGTTATGAGTCAGAGGATGTGTGGAACGGGATTGACAATGTCTGCTCTATGAGCTTCGATTTTTTTTAAGAATTTTTTCCATACTGGTGGATAATTTGATTAGGTTACAGTATTTTATTTGGGGAAACTAAAATCCATAACATATTCACACACCTTAAGTGGTTATTTTAAGCACTGGAAGTTGGCAGAGCTCTAGAACAAGGAGGGAAAGAGACTAAGGAATTAACATGTTTCTAATGACATCCTTGACTCATAAAGTCCCTTTTCCTTCCTCACTAAAGTGACAAGATTGTTCTGTAATATACAAATTCAGTTTCATAAAAATACAATTAAAAACGTGGATATCAAACAATAACACTACCTTAATTTTATGTCCCCAATGTCACCCGCTTCCCACAGGACTTGTAGAAATGTTTCCTCTAACCTCTAACCTCCATATCTAGCTTGTATTTCATGCTTCCTTTCATTATAGTTAGCAACTGCTCTCCCCACTTGGCCCAGCAGATTAGAAGCTCTAATATTTCTTATCATTCTCATCCACTGATCTCTTGCTGTCCATTCTTCCTAGAAAAGTAGTTGCTTTATAAGAGGCTATGGAATGATGTTTTAAAAATCTGAGAAATAGACACTTAACTTGGCATGACTTTTAAGTAGTTTACAACACTAAGATGAATCAGAGAAAAATGGATCACATTCAATGGCAATAGTTGAAAACAAAATTACAATTGTCCTTTACTTTCTAATACAATGAGTACTAAGTTTATGTTCATAACTTTGAAACTAAACTAAGTTAAGCAAAGCCACATAAAGTACTACTATTTTAATGGGAGCAATTATTTCAAAACAATTATATCCAAATAAAATCAGCAAAATAATAACAGCATACTGTGGCATATACTCTGTGCCAATCCAGTATCCATTGGCCTCTCTTTCTTACTAATACAACACCAATTACTTCCTAGGGCAGCCTTGTGTCCTGTAAAAAAAAAATACAAGACCCCCTCAGGCAGGCAGAAGTAGACATGCACAGTACCAATGTGATAAAAGCAGAAGTCACCAGAAAGAGTTTACCTCCCAAAAAAAAACCTCACTCAGAGAAAGCCCTCCCTCTTTCCTCTTCTTTCTACCTTGAATAGGTCCTGGAGATGCAGCAGGCAACTCGTGACTGTGAGGAGGAACCCATGTGACAAAGACACAAACTGTAGATCTAAAATGTTCAATTGTCCTCAATGAAAGGAATGACTTCTGGTATCTTTATAAAGAGGAATCTTTGGCACTGAGTTTCTAACATCATCCGAGGCCTCTGATAATTTGCTTATAAAACTTTTCTGAAAACTTATGAGTTTCTTTTACAAAATTATAGAAAAGATCAAATGTGAATTAAAAACACATTAACTCCAATTTTTAAAAATCTGGTTTTTCAACAGAAGAAAATCTGTGTTGATTTTCCAGGTGCCTCGATATAGGCTCCTTCCTGCCTAAGATGTTGTTCTGGCTGTAAATCATGTAGCCCTCTCAGAGCAATGCATTTGTGAGTGTGATTGCCCAATTATGCATGAGTGCGGTCAGCATGGAAATCCAGTTCGAACTGCAGATCGCCACCTGTGAGTTGAAATGTGCATGTGTATTTTATGGGGGGGAGGATAGTGAAACAGATTAAAGCAATAATATGTCAGGTTTAAATCTTCTATAAATGAGAATTGATTAGTGCAGCTGATAAACATGGAAATAAGTAATTAAACATGGTGTGTAAGGAAGGGTAAGTTTTCTCTGTGGTTGTCCTCACAGGATAATTTCTGGTGTTGAGAACCTGCCTCGGGTTTCTTAATAATGTTTTCCTAGCTGGATAATTAGGATGTGCTATTGATGTGATCTAAAAAAGCATTCAGCTTCAAAAGAAGCTGCCAAAAAAGGGAAGCCTAAGTACATCCAAGCCTGGAGATGGAATGTCAGTTTTATTTAGGGGTCAACTGAAAACGCCAGTCCTCAGTGCGCCTGTGTCTATCACCTCATTACACATTAGCAACTTTTGTTTCTCCCTTCTCATTCCTACGCGGATTTATTATCTAGATCACAGCTTCCATTTCCCCATAATATTCTAGATGCTCTTTAAATCTCAGTAACAGAATCAATGTGGAGTGTGGTGCTAATTTTTCCCCATAGATAACGTATCCTTAGGAATGCTTTCACCCACAACAAAAAGATCCTGCACTGGGGTAAACAGACATTTTTTCCCCTCATGTAATAGAATGTCCAGTCTGCAGTCAGTCCATCCATCCAGGATTAGCGCAGCTGCTCAATGACGTCATTCAGAACCTGGCTCCTCCTATTTTAGAAGACCCACAGTTCCTGGCAGACTGTCAGCCCTAAAACCAATGCTTTTTCTTTTTTTTTAAAAAAAAAAAACAAGAATGATCAAACATGGAAACATTCATATTTCATTTCTCCTATGACAGATTTACCTTTTATTACACTTGTTAACACAGAAGAGAGAGAGAAGCAACGCTAGGGCTGATTCACCTTGTCTACATGAAACACGTCTTCAATTTCTGTCTGGAAATTGGGTGCTTCTACAATATCCCTAAACTATTTGAAAAATGAACTACATATAAGTAATGAAAAAGAGTCTATAAATAATTTCAATGAGAAAACAACTCCCCCCAAAAAAAGTTTTAAGATATAACTAAATATAAGATTAAATATTTTAAAATATTAAAAGAAGGGCTGGGCGCAGTGGCTCACGCCTTGTAATCCCAGCACTTTGGGAGACTGAGGCAGCAGATCACAAGGTCAAGAGATCAAGACCATCCTGGCCAACATGGTGAAACTCCGTCTCTACTAAAAATACAAAAATTAGCCGGGTGTGGTGGGACTCGCCTGTGGTCCCAGCTACTCGGGAGGCTGCAGAAGAATCTCTTGAACCCAGCAGGCAGAGGTTGCAGTGAGCCGAGATTGTGCCACTGCACTCCAGCCTGGCGACAGAGCAAGACTCCATCTCAAAAAATATATATATATATATTAAAAGAAAAAAACTGCTGAACATGTTCTTAGTTTTTGAAAGAATAAAATAATAAAACTAATGATGAGGAAATTGTAAAATGATCTTGGCAGAAACCTTTTGCTATCTACAGCCATCTCCTAAAAGTGAAGTCTCTAGCTGTCACTGAGTTCTATTATGGTCCATAAATGAGGCTGTAAGAGTTTGTAACTCTCCACCTCCTCCCCTGCCCCCAGCTTTACTGAATTGACAAATAAAAATTGTATATATTTAAGGTGTACAACGCGATGATTTTATATACATTTGTATATAAAAGAAATGATTACCACAATCAAGCTAATTAACATAGCCAACACCTCCCATAGTTACTTTTTCTGTTTATGTGTGTAATGGAAACACTTCAGATGTAATCTCTTAACAAATTTCATACGTTATCATGTATAGTCACCAGGCTGTATGTTAGACCCCCCCAGAATGTATTCCTCCTGCATAATCAAACTGTATACCCTTCAACCAACATCTCCTATGTCTCCCACAACCTACCCCCCCGACACCCGAGTCCTTGGTAACACCACTGTACTCTCTGTAGAAGTTCAACTCTTTAAAAATTCCACATATAAGTGCTAATGTGCAGTATATGCCTCTATGTCTAGCTGATTTCACTTTGCAAAACATCCTCTCCAGCCTCATCCATATTGTAGCAAATAGCAGGCTTTCCTTATTCTTAAGGCTGGATAATATTCCATTATAGATAAATACCACATTTTCTTTATCCGTGTATCCACTGACAGACCCAGGTTGTTTCCACATCTTGGTATTGCAAATAATGCTCTAATGAACATGGGAGTGCAGATATCTCTTTGACATGGTATGTTTTAATTTCCTTTGGATATACCCTGTAGTAGGATTGCTGGGTCCATAAATGAGACTATCCAAATCCTTCTAATTTTAAATTGAGATTAAAATAATTACAAATAACAAAATCCACTCGACAAAAGGACTTTCTTGGTGCTAGCAGGAAGGAGAATGACTTTTTAATGTTTTGTTTCTTTTAAATTTATAGTTGTACCCCTGTTTCCCCCATACCTGTTATGTCTACAGCCTAGTCAAGTGACCTGTACTCATACCAAGACAGGGCTGGACACCAACCAAACATTGACATACGCTGACAAAGGGGAAGGGAACAAGGAAGTCACTACGTATAACATGCTTGAGATGTGGACTATAATTCTTTTTTTTTTTTTTTGAGATAGAGTCTTGCTCTTTTGCCCAGGCTGGAGTAGTAGAGTGGCACGATCTTGGTTCACTGCAACCCAGGTTCAAGTGATTCTCCTGCCTCAGCCTCCTGAGTTGCTGGGATTACAGGCACCCGCCACAACATCCAGCTAATTTTTGTATTTTTAGTAGAGACGGGGTTTCACCATGTTGGCCAGGCTCAAACTTTTGACCTCAGGTGATCCACCCACCTCAGCCTCCCAAAGTGCAGATTACAGGTGTAAGCCATGGCACCCGGCCTGGACTATAATTCTTAACATTTGTAAAAATCACCCTTACACTCCTCTTGACTACCAATGAACACATTTTAAAATTTAAGATATGTCTGAATGTCAGCTGTAAAGGAGAATTAATATTTCTCCACAACCAAAGAATAGCCAAGAAAACACTGGGCACCTCCTGCCAAGTTATGCATCCGGGGTTAAAAGAATGACGTTCTAACATCTAACAGTTGACTCTTTGGGGATGGAAGAGCACGGGAATTAAAAAAATACCCAGTGGTAAGAATACTTCATGATGTTTTGCTTATTACATTAATTGAATATAATCTAAATCCGGCAACTAACATAATGAGCTAATTAAGAGTTATTTTTCCTACAACTTTTTTTTTTTTTTTTTTTCCTGAGACAGAGTCTCACTCTGTCATCCAGGCTGGAATGCAGTGGAGTGATCTCAGCTCACTGCAACCTCCTCCTCCCAGGTTCAAGCAATTCTCACCTCAGCCTCTGAGTAACTGGAATTATAGGCATGCACCACCACAACCAACTAATTTTTGTGTTTTTTGGTAGAGATAGGGTTTCATCATGTTGGCGAGGCTGGTCTCAAACTCCTGACCTCAAGTGATCCACCCGCCTGGGCATTCCTACCACAGCTTTTCTAAAACACTTGTATGATGTCCTTTCTTCAAATAACACTTCACATTCCTCCTACTCCTTGGCTGATTCAAAACACTGTATCTCTGAAGACCCATGAGCCCCAGTGACTTAACCTAGCAGTTTTAACTCCAGCTAGCAGGAAGAACTACACCTACATAGTTCCTTTTCTGCAGTAGCATACCCAGCATCAGCACTGCTTTTAAATCATTTATTCATTTTATATACTTCCTCTACTTAATTGAGCTGTGTTGGAACATCTAAGGTGTCAGTGATCTACAACTTGAGTCTAAGGTTAACATATGTCTCAGTACTTCCACTTGAATATTTAAGGAATCAAACTCAGACTTGATTATACAGAACCTTTTTTATTTTTTTGTGACGGAGTTTCACTCTTGTTGCCCAGCCTGGAGTGCACTGGTGTGATCTCAGCTCACTGCAACCTCCACCTTCTGGGGTCAAGCAATTCTCCTGCCTCAGCTTCTCGAGTAGCTGGGACTACAGGCCTGCGTCACCATGCCTGGCTAATTTTGTATTTTAGTAGAAACGGGTTTTCTCCATGTTGGTCGGGCTGGTCTTGAACTTCCAACCTCAGGTGATCCACCTGCCTCAGCCTCCCAAAGTGTTAAGATTACAGGCGTGAGCCACTACTCCCAGTTGAGAACCATTTTTATAATAAAAGTACTCCTTCCTTGAAATCTGGGAGAGAAAAATATGAAACCTGACCGAAGACACAGAAAGCAATATTTATTCCATCTCCTATACCTCCTTAATTTAACAGCAGTAAAGACAGATAAGAAATACTACCACCAGGCTGGGCACGGCGGCTCACACCTATAATCCCAGCACTTTGGGAGGCCTAGGAAAATAGATTGCTTAAGCCCAGGAATTTGAGACCAGCCTGAGCAACATGGTGAAACCCTATCTCTACAAACAATACAAAAATTAGCTGGGCATGGTGGCCCAGGCCTGTAGTCCCAGATACTCAGGAGGCTGAGGTGAGACGATCGCTAGAGCCCAGAAAGTCAAGGCTGCAGTGAACCGTGATTGTGCCACTGCCCTCTAGACTAAGTGACAGAGTGAGACCTTGTCTCAAAAAAAAAAGAAACACCACAACAAATTCTGTCAAAGCATGTCTTCATTAAATAGAGAATGAAGTAAATCTAAGTAGGAAAAAGATTCTTGAATAATTTCAGCTTGGGACAGGCAGGTGGCTCATGCTTATTATCCCAGCACTTTGAGAGGCTAAGGTGGGAGGACTGCTTGAGGCCAAGAGTTTCAAGACCAGTCTGAGTAACAAAGTGAGACTCTGCGTCTCTCCAAAAAATTAGAAAATAACTAGCCAGACGTGGTGGCACACACACTTTTAGCCTCAGCTACTTGAGAGGCTGAGGCAGAAGGATCACTTGAGCTCAGAAGTTCGAGGCTGCAGTGAGATATGACTGCACCACTGCACTACAGCCTGGACAACAGATGGAGACTCATCTCTAAAAATAATAATAAAAATAATAATTTCACTTCAGTTACAACAAATTTAATTCTAGAATAAGCCCATTTTTTAGAGAAAAAAAAATCTTAGAAAAAAACAAGAATAAGCACAAGTACCATAGCTTTCACAGATTCCTTTCTGTTCTAAAAGATTCCTGGATTATCATTAAATAACATTACAAGTGTAGTTTAACCATAATCCATGAGAAAAATCCAATGAGCCTACAATATTACTCTTTTAACATTTCTTCTCAGAGGCACACTGAAGTACAAACTGAAAGGTTAGGATCCCGGCCTTTGGGAAGCCGTTACCTTTACGGATAGTTGTATCATTTGTTTTAGTTTGCAATTCTATGGCAATAAATATAACATGATTGAATGTGCAATACTATATCCCCCAAAGGCTTGGATTGGGGCTAGTCCTCTGGTCTTACATACTGTATTATAGCTCCTTTAAAGAAAATTCATAGTCATTTGACTTGCCCCCTCCCATGTTTTCTCATTTCAAACAAACAAGTGAGTCATTCACAAATGCTGCAAGACTAGCTACTCATATTCTGGATGCTTGAGTATTTTGTTCAAACAAGCATGGATATATGATGACTATTAATTTATCCCGGTAAAATCACTAATAGGCTTAACAGGTTGAACAAGATATGATGCAGAATATTCAAGACTTAGGAAAAAACAACCTGTCTCAGAAAAAAAAGATATTAGTCATGTACCTACATCTGTTGTCAGAACATGTTTCAATTCTCCTATGCTACTGGAATTAATGTATATTGGTAAAACATTTCTGGAGGGCACTTAGGTATCAAATAGCAAAAAAACCCTTTCAAAAAATTGGTTACCTGTGACCCAGGAATTCTATTTTTTAACAATCAATTTTCAGGAAATAATAGCCAAGTACACAAAGCTACATGTGCAAATATGTTCACCAAACTCACATTTAGAATAGCAAAAAAAAAAAGAAAAATATTAAATGTCTAATAATTAGATATTTGTCAAATAATGTATATTTCCCTGTAGTGAAATACTAAGCAGGTATTCAAATAATGTATAGTTAATAACAACAAAAGGTCTTACAACATTTACTTGAAAAAAGCAAGTAACACGACAGCATATATGATATGCTATCACTGTATATATCTATGTATATTAAAAATTCTAGGCCAGGCGCAGTGGCTCATGCCTGCAATCTCAACACTGGGAGGCTGAGGCGGGTGGATCACCTGAGGTCAGGAGTCCAAGACCAACCTGGTCAATATTGTGAAACCCCATCTCTACTAAAAAATACAAAAATTAGCCAGGTGTGGTGGTATGTACTTGCAGTCCCAGCTACTTGGGAGGCCAAGGCAGGAGAATTGCTTGAACCTGGGAGGCAGAGGTTGCAGTTAGCTGAGATTGCACCACTGCACTCCAGCCTGGGTGACAGAGCAAGATTCCGACTCAAAAAATTTTTTTAGAAAAATCTACACAAAAAATGTTCATAGTTAACAATGGCTAATGAGGTCACAAGCATTTCTTTGTCCTTCTTGATACTTCTGTGTTTTCTTGAAAATATCTCTGACATATTTTAAAGTCTGACTTTATCTGGCCATCACTGGGCAAAGTCAAGTCTTGATGAAGATTGACAACTTGAAAAATAAACAAATGCTGATTAGATAATGGTCACTGCAGTGTTCCAGAGATCACGCAATACATTTATTTTGGAAACAGAAGTTCTATGCCACAAAGAAAAATCAGGACTGAAACAAAGGATCTCTCAGCAAAGCGATTTTTGCTTCCTGGACTGCAAGAAGAGTACCCTCGCTAGCCATCTTGCCACAAGAGTACGATGAACAACGGAAAAGAAACATATTTATTCCTTGTACATTTGGGGTTGTCCTTACTGCTGTGTCTGATCTCCCTTGGTTGGAGCCAGACCTTACAATCTAAACTAAAACCTTACAATCTAACCTAAAACCTGATTGGCTATCAACTTAAAAATTTTTTAAACAGGTAAGGGGCATAGGCTGAGAGCTGGGACATGCCTGTGAGCATGTCCAGCACAGATATCTTGGTTAAAGTACAAGGACACAGAATGTACTACGTGCACGTAAGCATGGCATGTTTAACAGCTACATAGAATAGGGCTTAACAAAAAGTTATTAGTAAATTTATTCTTTAACAAGAAAGGAAACTCTGAAGAGAAACTTTTCTACTTTCCACAATTTCACACCTTTACTCCAGGGTAATATCCAGAAGATATTCACCATGTGCTTGCTAACCTCTCCTGGCTTTTTGGTCACATTAACTTTACATTTTAATGTTTCTCCTTTTCATTCTTTCCTAGTATCATCTTTCCTAGTACCAATAGACACACAGTGACAAATTCTTACCTGTGTGTCTATTTGTCACTGTGTGTCTATTGGTACCAGTAAAGAAATATCATTTCTTTCTATGTGAAATATCATTTCTTTCTATGTGTCTATTTGTCACAGTGACAAATTCTTACATGCCAAGTAGGCTGGGTACCCAAGCTACACAAGCTAGTAGGAGCAAGTCCTAGTTTGCAAGAAGTTCACAGATTAGTTTGAGGGAAAAAGCACATATGCTAAGAATGACAATATGATAATGACATAAGAGAGAGACACACAGGGCACTTACTGAACAAAAGGAAAATCAGATAATTGCCTGGAAAGAGAAGAACTGTCTGTCAAAGGACTCAAAGAATCAGGAATGGAGCTAAATCCTAAAGAACAAGCTCAATAAATAGAAAACACAGCTCTGACTCTAGTTATGTGAAAATCTGTAGTAGTCAAGGTCTTCCAGAGAAACACAACCAATATGATACATATCAACAGATGGATACAGGCAAACATAGAAATCAATCTATAGCTACATCTTTATCTACTCATCAGTCTAGAAAAAGATTTATTTTTAAAATTGGCTCATGCAATTGTGGGAGCTGGTTAATCCAAAATCTGCAAAGCAGGTCAGCAGGCTGGAGCCCCAGGAAAGAGCTGAAGTCACAGATCAATTCAGAAGGCAGTGTGGAGACAGAATTTCTCCCTGGGGTCAGGGTGTGGGGAATCTTCACTTTGTATCTTAAGACATTCAACTGATTAGACGAGGTCTACCCAGCTTTACTCAAAGTCTACTGATTTAAATGCTAATCACATCTGAAAAAAATAATTCCTTCACAGAAACAAGTTTTCTGTGAAAACTTCACAGAAACTTGGTAGGCCCAGATGTTTGGTCAAACATCAGATTAGATGATCTGGGCACTATCGCCCAGCAAGCAGACACATATCAACCATCACAGAAGCCAAGTCAGAAAAGTGAAGTAAGAGGAAGATAAAATTAGGAGTTATTTGGCCCTTCATCTTCATTCATTTTGTCTATTTTCCATTCTTCTCTTCTTTCACCCAAATTCAGTGTTAACTGCTCAGTTTTTATTTCCATTTTTAGTAATGCTTGGCTTATATGCTGTCATAACGCAAATCAACTTAACCTTCCAATAACTCTAAATCTAATTCTTTGCCATTTTTCACTTCTGTGGCTTCAACCATCTTCAACCACACAGACGAAACTCAAAATCTATTTCAAAAAAATTCATATTGCCAACATCCTGCTGAATATCCCCAGGGAGTTTAACATCTATGAGTCTAAAAGCTAAAAAAAAAAAAAAAAATGTCGGACAAAACCAGTTCCTTCTTCCTGACTTTACAACTTCTGTAGATGGTATTCTCTTCACAGAGGCCACCTACTCTCCTTCCTGCTCAGCACGTTTGGTTTACGCCTGTCCTTTGCATTTTACTATCAATGGTCAGCACACTGCTTGACTCAGTGCTGCTCAGCCTGTTAGCAAGATAGATGGATGAATGAATGAATGCTGAACACAATCACTTGTCAATTGTGGTAAATTCTATTCCAAATTATTAATACTAGCTCCCCTTTTTTCCATTATCACTACACAAATATACGCCAGACCACTTTCATCATATCCCAATTTGTTTTTCAACTTCTGTCTCAGTTCTCTATTGCATATAATTACAGCTATAATCCTATCACCCCTCTAATAAAAAACCTTTATTTTCCCACTGAATTAACCACAAGCTTTACTCCCTAGTGATTAAGTTCCTCCCCAGTTTAAGCCCCAGGCTCTCTCTGTAGTTAAGCCCACTACTATATTCAGTCACGTATTTGACATTCACTTTGTCTACTGAAAATAAAATTATCCATAAAACAATGCTAGCTCTTGAGGCACTTAATCCATAAGGACATACACAGTAAAGAAAGAACCACAATACAACCTTCAGATACTCTAGAGCAGGTAGGCACAAGACACCATGAAGACCACACAGGAGACTGACGAGGGACAGGAACAGGCAAGAGTTCACAACTGAGCTCAGGTGCAACTTCCTTGAAAGAGTAAGTAGGCTTATCCAGACTGACAAACTGGAAGACAGGCAACCCAGTCAAAAGCAATTAGAACTTGGGGGAAAAAGACAATGAGGAATAGAAATAAGCTTATTTAACTAAAGCTTCAGAAAAATCATCTATTATAACTGAATAAAATTCACAAGTTATATCTAATATGGTTGACTATAAAATAAGGAGATAAACTGACAACACATACACACACACCATTTACTGCTAGACATTTACTGCTGGACATTTATGACTTATGTATCATCATTCAAGTTAATAATCTTGAGAAACTTATTCCGGCAATAAATCTGAAAACTCTCCTTCTATGCCAAAATTAGAATTCCCGAAGAGCTTGATTACCAGAATAGTTGCCCTATACAGGCTGTTCCCAATCATCAAATCTACACTCCTCAAAGGACAGCTTTATGGTAATGCTAGATGTCTTTATGACAGTGCCACATGATGAGGTACGTACAAGGATGTTCACTGCAACAAGATTTGAAATGGCCAAAACCTAAAAGCAATCCAAATGTCTACTCAGTAGGAGGACAACACAAATGATGACAATCATACAGTGGAAAACTAGGTAATCATAAAAGAAGATAATGACAAATTCGTACGAACAGACACAGAAAACTGAGAGACATTGTTAAAAGAATAAATAGACACAGAAAACTGAGAGACATATTGTTAAAAGGAAAATCACTCAAGTCACAATTTATATATAATATGATCCTGGTCATTTTTTTAAAGAAAGGAATGTATATATATGTACTGATATACAGGAGGGGAACAGTAACATAGAATGTGAGGATGGACACCCTAATGTTGACAATGACTCACTCTGAAGAGAGGAGCAGGACTGGGGAGTGCAGAGCATAGCTTCTGTAACACTGGAATCTTTTCCATGGGAATTTAATCACACCACTAATAAGAGTATGAACTAAAAATATAAATGTATTAACAGATTCCACATTCAATTTTTTTTTAATCCAATAATGTTTTTAGCAACACCAACAATACTGAATTAAACACATACTCTCTCTTATGAAAAAAATGCTTTCACTGAAATGTATAGAATATGTCAGGTTTTTCTTTAATGTCCAATTGCATCTTTCCACTTGCAACCATTAGTGTTCCAGAGTTGTGTTCCACCAGATAATTTGGGGCCCTCAATACCACCTGCTGTCAATATTCCTAAAATATGGCAATTCCTTAGCAAAGGCAAACGACTAGAATTGCAACCCCAGTAGCAGCTCTAAATGTAGAAAGACAAGGAGTCCCATTTCTAACTTTAATAATAGAATAAGCATAACAAGAAAAACCAAAGTAAAAATTTTTCAGTATTGGCTGGGCACAGTGGCTCACGCCCATAATCCCAATACTTTGGGAGGCCGAGGTGGGTGGATCACAAGGTCAAGAGATCAAGACCATCCTCGTCAACAAGGTGAAACCCCGTCTCTACTAAAAATACAAAAATTAGCTGGGCATGGTGGTGCATGCCTGTAGTCCCAGCTACTCGGGAGGCTGAAGCAGGAGAATTGCTTAAACCCAGGAGGTGGAGGTTGCGGTGAGCCGAGATCGTGCCATTGCACTCCAGTCTGGGTAACAACAGCGAAACTCCGTATCAAAATAAAAAAAAAAATTTTTTCAGTACTAAAAGATAACCTGAAGTCGCAGAAAACTTCAACTAAGAACTGCTTTCTAGTCTACACCAAACCTTGAATTTTTATATATTATACCATAATCTGAGACAATGCAGAAATCATGTCAGTGAAACCACTGTTGAGCTGTATATAAAAAATTAAGGAGGACAACATAACCATCACTCAGCATAACATAGTTTCTCTAGAAAAGACTGAATGGAAATGCATATACTTGAGACATTATTCTACAGAGAGAAAGAAACGGAGGATAAAATGTCAATGTTTGTTCAACCACAATGTTTTCAGTTCTCTTCTAGAATTTCATTCACTCACCAAATTCCAAGTAAATCAAAATGCAGAACAGCTAACAGAAAGAATTTCAGACTCTTTAACTGCCTGCTTGAGGAATGTATATTTTGTTCATTATCTTCTCTTCTTTCATGTCCTTTCCATTTCCTCACTAACATTCATGTAGACAAGGAAATATCAAATTAAGTGTTGATACTTAGAAAATAGACTTGATTTTCAAATGTATCTGTTATGTACAAATTGCTAACAGTAACTACAGCTGAGGGTTAGGACTATGAAAAAAGTTCATGACTTTCTTCATAGTTCTAGAATTTTATACAGTCCTATAATTTTAACAGTTAATATTAAACTTCCTTTGAAATGAGAAAAAAATATTCTAACATATTTGTTTTTAACTGTGGGGCACACTTAGGACCACTCAGAAAGAATTTATTTTAGTGGACATACACACCACAGGTTAAACCAGCATCGGCAGCCCCTCCAGAAACATGAGGACCTGGTGATTTATCAGACAGAGAGACCTTGTTGGAAAAGAACTTGTGGCTGGGTGCAGTGACTCATGCCCGTAATCCCAACACTTTAAGAGGCTGAGGTGGATGGATCACCTGATGTCAGGGATTTGTCTCTACTAAAAATACAGAATGCCCCATCTCTACTAAAAATATAAAATTAGCTGGGCATGGTGGTACATGCCTGTAATCCCAGCTACCAGGGAGGCTAAGGCAGGAGAATCACTTGAACCTGGGAGGTGAAGACTGCAGTGAGCCGAGAACGTGCCATTGCACTCCACCCTGGCCAACAAGAGTGAAACTCCATCTCAAGTAAAAGAAAGAAAAGAAATTATTTTGCTAACTAGCCTGAGTCCATCATTCTACAATATACACATGTATCAAAACATCACATTGCACCCCATAAATATATGCAATTATTATCTGTCAATTTAAAATGAAGTAAACTTTTTTAAAAGGAAAGAAAAAAAGAATTTAAAAACAAGAAAAAATGTTCACTGGCTGGATATACAATGAGGAAAGCAAGGGAAATGGAAAAGTCAAAGCTGACTCTTACATTCTGGTCTGATGGCTAAAATCATGGTGGTACCCTTCACAGAACAGGACAGGCAGGAAAGCAGAGGAAAGGCATTCTGCTTGAGATAGGAAAACACACATAAAAAGTGTCCTGGAGTTCTAGCAAAGGGGGCAAAATGAACACAGATGTCGAACCTAGACCCCTTTCAAAGCCCCACTGAAACTGCAGCAAAGATATTGTTTTAAGAAGATAGAGAGAATGGGGAAGAGGTGACAAGAAAATTTTTGGAAGATGGAGAACAAAAGGTTGAGTCACAAGAGACTGGTGACTTGATGAAGCCAATCCTAAATCAGCTCAGGGGAAAGCTAAGAACCTCTGCCCTTCATGCTGCCCAGTTCCCAAAGCACAGGTATTGGACTTCTGAAAGTAAAGGTGAATTAATTTTCCTGGGGAAGAAGAAACAGCTAAAATAAGAATTGGCTGAAAATGTTAAGCAGTTTGAACCCTACATCTCCTGACCACAATCCAAGCCACCAGTGGCCACCCTTCCCATCCTGGCAGAAAACTGGATGTTAACTCTCAGAAAAGGTTAAAACAGAAGATTTCTGGTCTGAGAATACGAAGCATAGTTGAGAACCTACCAAACATAGAGGAATTAAGTAAAAAGATGCATTCTGATTGCTGAGACCCAGGCTTCTTTCCAGGAGACACAGCTTCTGGAAAGTTGACAGCAGGGCCTTACCAGCCAGCTAAGAGATTAAAAGAATCTTCTTTGGTGAAACTGAGCAGCCTAAGATGACCTAAATAAAGTTACTGACAGGCCGGGCATGGTGGCTCACACCTGTAATCCCAGCACTTTGGGAGGCCAAAGTGGGTGTATTACCTGAGGTCAGGAGTTCGAGACCAGCCTGGCCAACATGGTCAAATCCCGTCTCTATTAAAAATACAAAATTTAGCTAGGCATGGTGGCATGTGCCTGTAATCCCAGCTACTTGGGAGGCTGAGGCAGGAGAATTGCTTGAACCTGGGAGGTGGAGGTTGCAATGAGCAGAAATTGTGCCACTACACTCCAACCTAAGTGACAGAGCGAGACACCATCTCAAAATATAAAATAAAAATAAAATCAATCAATCAAATTACTGACAGGTGCTCTTCCCCACAACGCTGCTCACCCAGCCAAAAGCTTCCTTCAAACACTCAGACTTTCCAAGCAGCCTTTGAGTGCCCCACTCTCTTATATGAATAGAGAAGCCAGAGGCTACTAGACACCTCAGAAAATCATTCAAATGGAAGAGAGATCCAAGCAGAAAAAAAAAAAAAAAACTTGCAGCAAACACCTGGGAAGGTAAAAAGTAAACTTTAAAAACTCACTAGTCTCAGAGATAAGAAGAGAAAGTACATCAATAAACTAAAAGCAGGATGTTATATAAAAGAATACCCAGAACAACAACAGAAAAAGCTCTTGCATATGGAAAAACCTGATAGCAGAAATGAAAAGCTCAGTAGAAAGACTGAAAAAGAAAGAATAAGAAATGGACCAGATAGGCCAAGCACAGTGGCTCAATGCCTGTAATCCCAGCATCCTGAGAGGCTGAGGAGAGAGGATCACTTAGGCCAGGAGTTCGAGATGAGCAGCATAGTGAGACTCCTACCTCTACCAAAAAGTTTTAAAAATTAGCCAGGCATGGTGGTGCATGTCTGGAGTCCCACTCAGGAAGCTGAGGCAGGAGCAGCACTTGAGGCTAGGAGTTTGAGGCTGCAGTGCACTATGAACGTGCCACTATATTCCATACTGAGTGACAGAGCAAGATTCTGTCTCTAAAAAATAAAATAAAAATAAATATCAATGCTTTTGCTATGTAAACAAAAATAATTTTTTTTAATGGCCCAGAAAGTAAAACTAAAAGACAGTGAGACAGAAAAGCATAGAGAAAAGGAAATTTAAGTATCAGTCCAGAAGATCTAACATCTGAAAATACAAAAAGAAAAATAATTATAAACTAAGAATTAAATAAGAAAAAAATTTCAGCACTAAAGAAAAACAGCTTCTAGATTCAAAGAACTCATCAAGTACCCAACAAAGGACACCCCAAAGGACATCACTGTGAAATTTCAAAACGCTGGGATTAAAAAGCTGATCACAAAAGCTTTTATCAAGGAAAAGAAAGTTACATACAAATGATCAGGAATCAGAACATCTTGAGCTTTTCAATACCAACACTGGAAACTAAATGGTTAAAGAAGCTAAAGGAACAATGTCTTCAAAATAGAAAGGGTAAAGGATTTTTAATCTAGAATTTCTTAGCCAGTAAAACTATCCATTAAATGAGAGAGAAGACATATACAAAATATGCATCTACTAATCTTTCTTAGATATCAGAGGGCTGGTGGCTCAAGCCTGTAATCCCAGCACTTTGAGAAGCCCAGACAGAAAGACTGTTTGAGCTCACCAGTTTGAGCCCAGCCTGGCCAACATGATGAAATCCCATCTCTACTAAAAAAAACACAAAAATTAGCCAGGTGTGGGAGTGCATAGCTGTAATCCCAGCTACTCAGCAGGCTGAGGCAGAAGAATCGCTTGAACCCAGGAGGCAGAGGTTGAGCTGAGATCCCACCACTGCATTCCAGCCTGGGCAACAGAGCTAGACTCTGTCTCAAAACAAAAACAAAAACAAAAAAGATATCAGAGGCAGGTCTCCATCAAATGAAGAAGTAAACCAAGAAAGTTATCAGGGGAGACAGGCATCAGAAGAGAAAGGAAGTCTCTAGGATGAGAGGAACTTTCATATAGATTAGATTAAATCAGATTGGAAGGCTCTGGGAGATAAAACTGACTGAGTTCTTAAGGTAAAAAGAAGATACTGATAGGGTAGAGGTGGAAGTTGAAACAACAACAAACACACAAAAACATACACACCCCAAAAAGCCATTATTTAGGTCAGGAGAGACAAAAGTTGTAAAATAAAGGAAAAGCCATCATGTTTGATGATGTGTCTCTGCTTGAAGGGTGGACGCTGCCTTAACGCTATACACAGGGAAGGCTGAACTAAACAAAGCAATATAAGTGGATAGAGAAGAAATGGGATGGGAGGTATACCTATGCGGGGGTGAGTGCAGGGAAGGAAAAAAGGGCTAAATCCTCAACTTGAAGTCAATAGATAACAATACCTAAAACTAAAAAAACACAGAAGAGCAAAAGCAGCATGATGTTAGGAGACACGGAAGAAAATTTCTTTAAAATCAGCTAAAATTTCTGAGTGACTACTCACGACCATAGGTTTTTCGCACTGGCTAATGCCCAGGGCTCATGTCCATGGCCATGAAGTCAGCTCATTCATCAAGAGAAATTGTATACAGTGTAAAATGAAAACTTTTTCATCATAAATCCTCTATAGCCAAAGGGGAAAAAGTCAAAGAAGGCAGTTTAACAATCTCGTAACAGTTACATCTTTGAATGCTCAGGTTTTTTTTTTTTTTAAGTGTGCAATAACTATCAGTCAAGAAGGAATTTCATCACTCCTCCTCCCTACGGTTTTCTTTTGCCTTCATAGTCATTCCTCTGACCACCCACCACTCAACAATAAGACTTAAAATGGAATTAGGTAAATATTCTCTATAACTCAGGGAAAAAAATATTTTAAAAAGCCATAGAATACTGAAAGAATACTTCAGCTTGGTTTAGATCTGTGAAGCCATCTGAGGGGCAATATGATCTAATTCTAACATGAAATCAAGTACAAGCAGAATATCTGAGCAAAAGGAACATAATAGGTAATTAAGAACACTTTCCAGTTCTTTCTGAAATAGATATTGACCATATCTCAATTTGAAATACTACACTGTCTCCTAAAACATGAAATATATTCCTTTTCAAGGACTTCTAATAAAAATATTTCCATATTATGTCTATTATCTCTTCTCCATTAGCTCGAATATCAAGAACAAATGAATAACCAACTGGAATTCCTATAACTTGGAATCCAGTAACTTGATTGGAATTTCACTATAAAAACTGTGTATTTTCTATTCATGCTAAATACTCATTTTTAGCTATTCATATGTTTTCAATGAGAAAGTCTGAGGAATTTGCAAAGGAATATTTGGGCAGGGGGTGGCATTTGGAATTTGCAAAGGAATATTTGGGCAGGGGGTGGCATTTAACAAAAAAAAAAACTCTTATTTTGCCCTGCCCCATGAATATAAACACACATTTATGCAGCTAAGATTTAAGTGACTAGAACAGTTTCTAGACTCGGCATTCTTTACTCTTATTTCTTCATTTTTATAGCTACCAAAAAAAAAATCAAGTTTCATTTCTGCTGACAGAGATAGGGAAGCCCAGCTCCATATAACAGAGTCATTGCACAACGCTAAAGGCTCTTGTTGAATTTTTTTTAAGTTTAAATTAAGAAACAGAAGTTCATCTTCACTTTGAAAATCGAACTTGAAAGAAAAATGTGACCTCTCATTATTTAATTCCTTCCAAGAAACTCCTTCTGGAACATAAATTGTTAAGACATGGCCACTTGGGAAAAACATTATCAAGTTACGTTTGACATGTGAAGCTACATGGCACTTGACAGGAATAATTTTTAACAAGCTCAAGACTCTCTTTTCTTTACACAATTAACACGATTTAAAAACATGTACTTTACCAAAAGCTTGCAGTATTCTATAAACAATTCAGTTCCTTTTACAAAGACTGCAGAGTGAAAGTGGGAAGTGCTATTAAAGGTTACTGTACTGTTTGTTAAAACACACACCACAAGCTTTAAACAGAAATTAAAGGTAAATGCATGCCCTCATAAAATTGAATGTTTTCTGTCAGGCATGGTAGCTCATGCCTGTAATCCCAGCATTTTAGGAGGCCAAGATGAGCAGATCATGAGGTCTAGATATCGAGACCATCCTGGCCAATATGGTGAAACCTTGTCTCGAAAAATACAAAAATTAGCTGGACGTGGTCTCATGTGTCTATAGTCCCAGCTACTCAGGAGGCTAAGGCAGGAGAATCACTTGAACCCTGGAGGCAGAGGTTGCAGCGAGCTGAGAGCACACCACTGCACTCCAGCCTGGGAACAGAGCAAGACTGTCTCAAAAAAAAAAAAAAAAATTGAATGCCTTCTTGCATTTTATCAGTAGATAAATAGGATTATAGATACAAAGTTATAGACCAAGGTATGGTATTCAAAGTAAGGATAAAACTACATACACATGAAAATAACCATTTCTAGCATAGAGCTAGATATAAAAAAGCAAAAAAAAATTCAATTTTTAAAATATATCCTTTATTAGGTAAAAATTCTTTTAATTTACTGAGAGTTATTATGAGAAAAGGATGTTGAATTGTACTTAATGCTCTTTCTGCATCTGTTGATATGATAATTTTTTTTTAATTTTAAAAGAGTATAATTTTTTAAATTATTTTATTGTGTTTTTTTTTAGGTTCCACGGTACATGTGCAGGATGTGCAGGTTTGTTACATAGGTAGGCACGTACCATGGTGGTTTGCTGCATCTAACAACCCATGACCTAGGTATTAAGCCCAGCATGCATTAGCTCTTTTCCCTAATGTTCTCCCCTACCCCACCTTGTAAGGCCCCAGTAAGTGTTGTTCCCCTCCCTATGTCCATGTGTTCTCATTGCTCAGTTCCCACTTATAAGTGAGAACATGCAGCATTTGGTTTTCCACTCCTCTGCTAGTTTGCTGAAGATAATGGCTTCCAGTTTCATCCATGTCCCTGCAAAAGATACGATCTTATTTCTTTTTATGGCTGCATAGTATTCCACTGTGTATAAATACCATATTTTCTTTAACCAGTCTATCATTGATGGGCATTTGGGTTGACTCCACGTCTTTGCTGTTGTGAATAGTGCTGCAATGAACACACATGTGTATGTATCTTTATAACAGAATGATTTATATTCCTTTGGGTATATACCCAGTAATGGGATTGCTGGGTAAAGACTGATAAAACTTCTGGCCCTCGACCATTTAAAGTTCCCCAGAAGCTCGGCAAGGTAGCACACATCTGTAAGTCCCAGCTACTTCAGAAGCTTAGGTGAGAGGATAGCTTGAGCCCAGAAGTTCAAGGTTAAGTGAGCTATGAGATCTACGATCCTAACATTGTCCTCCGACCTAGACCACCAGTCTCTTAAAAAAAACTAAACAAAACAAAAAGTCTCCCAGGAAATAAATTAAAAGAAGCATTACAACCAGCCTCCTATTTAGAAACGCTCAGATAGAAATGCTCTGCATATAGTCGCCAATTGCCTCACAGTGGATCTGCAGGCTGCTGGTGGCTCACCTTCCCTCTTCTGGCCTGGGGCTCTCCTCTATAATGAATACCCACAACTGAGAATCTAAGACTTAAAGCTCTGAGTTCCATAAGCCCAAGCACCCTAGAAACTTCCCTATCTCCTGCTTCCAAAGCTTCACACCCACATATCTTGCCACCACAATACCACAGGAAGCCCCTTCACACTCCAAAAGCCAAGTGGAGGCCTAACCCAAATCACTCATGTTATAGATGAAGTCAGGGTCACACAGCTTAGGGAAGGGGGTGAGAGGAGTAGGAACACATCATCTTGGTATCCTGATTGTCACCTATAATTCATTCCCACAGAAAATTCTTACATACTTTTTTTTTTTTAAGACAGAGTCTCACTCTGTCGCCCTGATTGGAGTGCAGTGGTACGATCACAGCTCACTGCAATCTTCATCTCCTGGGTTCAAGTGATTCTCCTGCCTCAGCCTCCCAAGTAGCTAGGATTATAAGCACATGCCACCACACCGGCTGATTTTTGTATTTTTAGTAGAGATGGGGTTTCACCATGTTGGCCAAGCTGGTCTCAAACTCCTGACAAGTGATCCACCTGCCTCAGCCTCCCAAAGTGGTGGGATTACAGGCATGCGCCACCGCACCTGGTCTAGAATTTTCACATGATTATATCTCATTGCACTATAGGTCTACATATCTATATTTGAGGTTGAACAGGCTTTTGGGGGTTGCCCTATGCCTGGTCATGCCTTGGAAACATGGTTTTTAAGAGGAACAATGTTACAAGTTCAAAATAACTGACAAATTAACTTGTGTATCTCAACAGGTTTCTAAATTAGAGATTACCTGCATATAATAAAACTAATTGGAATCCAACTAAGCAAAATCCTAACTAACTTGATTTTACTAAATCTCAATTTAAAAAGAAGAAAATGACATCAAACTAAATTCAAATCAAAGACGTAATCAAAACACCATTTTAGAAAACATGCCAAATAAATTTAATCCAATATTCTATGCTTTCAGAATGGAGTATCATGATATCAAAAAAAAGATCCAAAAACCTCAAAATAACCCAACTAACAAATCTAACCATCAGCTATCTAGAAAACTCAATTATCCAGAACATAAGGACACTCACTAGGAAACCTTACATTATCGAGGTCCAATCCTAGGCTGGGCCTGGTGGCTCAGGCCTTTAATTCCCAGCACTTTGAGAGGCCTAGGTGAGTGGATCACGAGGTCAGGAGCTCAAGACCAGCCTGACCAACATGATGAAACTCTGTCTCTATTTAAAATACAAAAATTAGCCGGGTGTGGTGGCATGTGCCTGTAATCCCAGCTACTCAGGAGGCTGAGGCAGAAGAATCACTTGAACCCGGGAGGCAGAGGCAGTGAGCCAAGATCGCACCACTGCACTCCAGCCTGGGTGACAGAGTGAAGACTTTGTCTCAAAAAAAAAAAAGGTCCAATCCTTTATTCTAACATCTTTATTTACACTTAGGTTTTAAAATACACTAAGAAAAAAAATAAAACTAGTCTAAAAAAATAGTGAGGCCCAATCCAAAATATCAGCTAATATTTATTGTTTATTATAGACCAGACACTGTTCTATATCTCATTTTACTCACACAATTAGCATTTCAGGTATTAGTACAATGCCCATTTTACAGAGGAGAAAACTTAAGCAGAGAGATTAAGTAATATATTCACGGTCACACCGATAGTAAATTTTATCTCTTACATGCCATGCTCTGCTGCCCCTCCCTCCCCACTTTATTTTGAGACAGAGCCTCGCTCTGTCACCCAGGCTAGAGTGCAGTGGCACAATCTCAGCTCACTACAACCTCTACCTCCTGCGTTCAAGTGATTCTCCTGCCTCAGCCTCCCAACTAGCTGGGACTACAGGCACACGACATCACACCCAGCTAATTTCTATATTTTTAGTACACATGGAGTTTCACCATGTTGGCCAGGCTGGTCTCAAACTCCTGACCTCAGTTGATCCACGTGCCTGAGACTCCCAAAGTGCTGGGATTACAGGAATGAGCCACTGCACCCGGCAATCTGCTGCCTTTTATCAAACTGCTTCAATTATGCTTGATCTCTCCAAATTACAGTACATATACAGTACTAACAGCTAATTGATGGACACATTACAGAATTAAGTAATAAACTATTAAGCTGAATTATATTAGGTAAAGCAAAACAGGATTCCACTAAAGGCAAACAAACACCAACTGCTCAGTAAATTTTGTGCTTGTAAATTTTTCTCATGTTTATTCAAATACTTTTATGCCCATCCACAAGCAAAATTTCCTATGTCTGCCTCAAGTTTTCCTAGCTACATTTTTTAGGAGGCATTTTCTCTACAATATCAAAATGAGGGTTTTATATAATCAGTATTTAGAGAACATAATCTTCTCTCCTCTAATTTTGTTTATGTCCCTACCCTGTGATTGTGTTGAGTCACCTCCCAGCTCTGGATGCTGTTTAAAGTTCTAGGAAAAAGGAAATCAAGAGAGGTGGCCCTAAACCCGGAGGCCCATGAACAAGCCAGTGGCCATGTTACTAATCTCCAGTGAAGGCCTGCTACCAAGTGTACCTCTGAAGAACAAATGGGTTCTTAAAGCAAGACTCACTGTTGCAAGGTAATGAAGCATTAGTTCATAAGCATTTAAAGTACTGTCCTGACCAGAAGCAAAAGCTTTTTAAAGAACCCTCTGGAAATTTAGTGTTGGCAACTCCAATCACTGTTCATGCCCAAGCAGAGCCCACATGCTAAGGTGTCTACACAAATTCACTCCTCTCGCCCTGGCCCAGTGGATACTGCAAACAGCATTCTCAAACTGCAGCATGTGTTAGAATCACCTGGAGGACTCTTTACACCAAGTCTGCTGGGCCCACCCCCAGTGATTCTGATTTAGTAGGTCTGTGGTGGGGGAAAAGATTTTGCATTTCTTTTCCCCCACCACAAGTTCCCAGGAGATGCTTATGATGCTGGTCCTGAGGCCACATTTTGAGAACCACTGATGTAAGTTAAGGGGTATGGGACACAATTCTCTTGGCTAGTGCCACCACCAAGCACCACAGAATTAAAGGTACTTGCTATCGGTAAAGAGAGAGCTGAGTGTTGGAGAGTAGAGTAACAACTAGCTAGTTTCATTGCTGCTCTCATCCTCCACTCATTAGCAAGGAAAACTCAGCAATTTTCTTGAAATGTAGGCTTGAGATGGCATTTTACGGTGTCACAGTATTTAAATATAGCAAATTTAGGGAAAAGAGGAAAAAAGAAAAGAACATTTTTTTCCCCTAACATACCACTAAATAAAAATAAGCCAAAAATTTAATTTGTTCCTATCTCACCTATCTTCTAACACTGATCATGAATGTCTGACAAAAGAGGCCAGAATGATAGGCCACACTAACAAAAAGACTTTATATTTAGAGACTAGATGACCTTTTATCGGTGAAGCTCAAACAACCAGAGAAACTTTCCGAATTCTCTATAGATTCCTAATAGCATTGTCACACGGGCCATTAACTCCATGACTCATCCCATTGGCCTAGCAGCACAATGATTTAAAATAACCAAAATAAGACAGAAAACACCCACTAACCTCTATCCAAACTCAGAAATTTTCAATATTAAAATGAATTTAAAGTTCACAAACATTAAAACAGATGAAGTGTTTCAACACATTACAGAGGCAAGAACTCACCTATACCATATTTTATCTCTATCACTGACCAGCTGTGTGATCTGGGGCAAATTACTTTGCCTATCTGTGCCACTGTTTCCTCATCAGTAAAATGAAGGGTTGGTAATGTGCCTCTCTTACATAGTTTTTGTGAGGACTAAATAAAATGGGCACATAATAAGTATCCTATAAGTGTTAGTTACAAATGTTATCCCATAAATATTGCTATAAATTATTAATATTA